CAAACCATGATCACACTTACAATGCCCCCCCCACACACACACACAGACAGACACTCACACACATTTACACAGCAAATACAAGCAGTGCCAAACAAAGGTGGGTGCAAATGCATTAGGGCAGTCATGCAAACACAGGCTTGCGCACTACAAACAAATGTGGTTTCCCCTACAGGCTGTTGGGCTAGCACTCTCCCTTGGACACACACACACACACACACACACACGCACACGCACACGCACACGCACACGCACACACGCACACACACACACACAAAAAGGGAGAGTTTGTCCCATCCCGTCCTCTCTGGTCTATTTCTGAGGCGACAAGAAAATGATCAAAGCTATGTGACCAGACTCCAGGAATGACCTTCTAACTATCTCAGGTGTCTCTTTTTACATACGCAAATACACACATGCATATACACGCACTTTCATACCTCTCCTCCACGTGGACACTCATACATAGGTATTTCTCTGATAAATACAGTGGGGAAACATATTGAAACAAATTCATATATGTCTCTGTACTGCCTTCATTTGTCTCTGTATTTCGACCCTGTTGACGCCTGTACACCCTGTCCCTTCTCAAATCCTTCACCACGTCTGGGTAGTAGAGATACATTTAAGTGGAGGCTGCCTTGGGGACCTGTTGGTGTCAAGTGTCCCCAGCTTGCACAGCATGTCAGCCATTTTTCTTCACGTCGTTACTCAGTTTCAGTTGGGCCTCCTTCATTTACAGTTCTTCGGTCAGAGCATGCAATACTTTTCTTTTTTTTTACTTTCCCATCTCTACACCTCCTGATGCAACATCAGTTATACAGAAGATATACCGTTGTATGAAGAGAGTAATTGGATAAATGTCACACAGCTGTTGCAACAACCATTGCCAGAAGTGATAGAATCCATGCATACACACACGCACACACGCACGCACACACACACACACACACACATACATACACATACACATACACACACACACTCACTGAACAGCTTGATCATTTTTCAGGGCCATACCTTACATATTTGCCGGCTTGATGAAATTCCTAAAAGACTAACAGCTACATAACTTAAAAGGTTAAACTGCACACCTGCTAAAGACAGATTGTTGAGGTACATTTTTATCAGAAAATATTTTTAAAACATAACAAGTCTTGAATTTGATATATTGATCTTTTTCATTTTCATTGTCTGGTCTCCAATAAACTGTGCTGTCTCTTTAATATATTAGGCCTTTGTTATTCACGTGCATAAAGAGATAACAAAACAAGCTAAGACTCTACAATTTCTGCCTCTGCAGTTGTTTGCATATTATATAAAATGTCTCTTTTATCAAATAAGGTCACAATAAAGGAATTTCCACATTCGTCAGCTGTTAAAAGTAAAAAATGAGGTTATCACGTATGCGAAACAGTTGGTAGCAAGACATAAACAGTGGTAGCATGTAACAAACATCAGATTGCGTGATGTCACATACAGTCTTTCGTTACACATTAGAAACACTTGATGGTCTTTGATGTTCAGCCTCTGCAGAAACATGAGGCTGCCAACCTTCTGCAGCCAACTGGGCATCGCACCCACCAATCCCTCACGCTGGTCTCTGTTTTTCTCATTGGCTCCCCCTCAAACAATAACCCCACGGCACAGTCAACTTCAGCATGATCACCTGTCGGAGTGTTTCAGGCAGCAGAACAATGTCTACTGTACAGTTTCATTGACATACAGCATAAAAGTCACAGCATGAAAACTGTGAGGGGGGGGCTTGTGTGCAAAAGTAAAGGTCACATCTTAAGCTGTTCTATAAATATTCGAAGGAGATGTGACTCTAGTCAATGTCTGCTCAGATTTCGCTCATCAACACACACACACAACTTTTGGTATTGGCCCAGTGGAAAAGGTCTTGACTAAGAACTCCTTTGGTGTATCACCATTACAGAGAGGTGTTAATAGTTATATTGGGCTCCCAGCCAGCAAATATCTCTCTGTCTCCTCACTTTCAAGTCTCTGCTGATGGTTTTTGGCTCCATCAAAAGTGGGACCACACATACACGACGGCTACGTTTTCATCATCTGACCAAAGTAAATATTGCCATTGATGCACGGTCTCAAAGTCCACACTGGTTTCAAACAGTTTCATAAACCTGCCATAATAACCTTAAAGTACAGAAAGCACATTTTCTTCCAGAAATATTTGAATACCTCTCAAGAGCAATGTCACAAACTGCTTTATTTGACTAATTTAGTGTAACGACTACTTAATGCATCCGTCCCCTCTTCGCTGACTCTTTTTTTAACCTTCTCAGTTCTTCTTTCTGGTGTGTTGGTTTTCATTTCCATATCTCAGGCTTCAGGTCATGGGTCAGAAAGCAGAGAGGTGATAAATGCTTCCAGGTCACCTCTCCTGTCTCTGGAGGTCAGGGAGAGGGTTTCTGCAGTGACAGCAACAACATGATCACTCAGCTGAAGCACCAGAGCTAAACTTCATCTGCCTCATTCTCTTCTACTACCCCATCTACAAAAATGTATCTATCGACTTAAATGTACACATACACACATTTAAAGCACAAGACAAGAACTTACTAGAAGGTCTTGTAAACCACGAACAAACAAGACAACAACTACATCAAAGTTATCAATATTTTCTGGTGCTTACCAAATAAAATGTTGTTTAAATAAATGTTGAAACATTCACTTTATTGTTTGAATTCCTACACCAGACATTGAAACATTCACATGCACGCATACGCTTATCTGATTCCGAGATGTGTAATGGTGTTATTTTAAGAACGTTAACAGTCCAATCTCCCTCATGCTGATCAACTCCACTCTCCTGCTGTGAATCGATGCCTTGTGCTCCGGCTCCCCGCACTAAAACTAATCTAGCTGACTTTCATAACTAGTGTAATCTGATTATAAATCCCTCGGTATGGACGCCACACAGAACACTGTGGCAGAGGTCACGCGTCGCTTGCTGAAAAATTCCATTGACTGAACACTTTCTCCATTAAGCAGGAGATTTCGCACTGATGTGTTGCTAGAAAACAGAACAGTGAACAGAGATCTTCATAATTATTATGTCCATTTTCTTTGCCTTATCTCCTATGTGTCAGTATGAGAGTTAATTATCATGCTTAATACCTTTTGGCAAATACATCTCAAATACATGTAGTTTCATCCTTTTGAAAATCACAGATTGAAGTAAGTTTACATTTGATCAAAAGCAATCATCAACAAACACAGATGACTAAAAAAAAGGGAATCCCTGTGACTCAACGTTATGTGGTTTAGGTTTTTAACTTTTTCAAGGACATGGAAATTGACCTTTTTGAATAATTTTAGTTTGAGGGTAATTTGTTTGAGTCTTTCTTTGATACAGTTTCCCCACTCCAAATAATATGCTTTTACAAATACACTCCAAAATATCCAGTTCTGATTATTGTTTATTCAGTGGTAAGTTTAGCGTTAAGATATCCAAATAGCAGCTCTATCTTATGTTGAACTTAAGCGCCTCATATCCTTTTTCCAGTACCTCAAATTGACTAATGTTTATGTTTAAACTAAGTCTGACATGTGGTGTGTTTCTCTCACAACCGCCACAGAGGAAAGTCCTCCCTGGTTTGTTTGGGTTAGACAGCAGAGGAATGAGGGAGGGAGGACAGCGAGATGGGGAAGAGTGGGAGGTGAGGGGATGATGACAGGGGAATGGGGGGTGTGAGTGAGCTTGGACAATGCTCTCTGAATTTTAAAAAGGGGATAGAAAAAGGCGAGGGAGAAGGGGAGTGGAGGTTCTGAGGAGAGAAAGCGTGTGGAAGAAAAGGGGAGAGGAAGGTGGCAGAAGGGAGCTCGTTGGTGGGGGGTGATGTGGCAGAGGGGAGGATAATTAGAGGGAGGAGGGGAGTGAAAGGGAAATCACGGAAGATGTAATAGCAGGAAAGTGAGGAGAAGGGGAAGGAGTGAGTTTGTGCAATGAGGGAATTAAAGAAGGAAGGAGAGAAGGTATAACGATGGGGAGGAGGTGAGGAGGAAGGGGAGGGGGAGATAGAAAGGCGGATAGANGGGGGGCAGGGACCTTGGGGGTTACATTCCTGAAGTGCAACCAGCCTGGTGCTGCTCTGCTGCCCAATGTAAACACAGGGCAGAGAGGTGAACTGACAACCTGTCACTGTAACTCACAGTGAGACAGAGTGAAAGCAAGCGGGGAAGAGAAATGGAGGTGTGTTATGAAAAAAAGGAAAAAGAGAATGGAGGAAGAAAAAGTAGCAGGAAAACAGAGATGTATTTGGAGTATGACAGTTCTCTACAAAGTAAAACATATTCTTTTTTAGACAGAACATTGTCCTTTCTCCTGTCATTGACTCAATACTCTCATATTAACATATCCTTTGATGCCGTCTCACATCTAGTCTACAATCCTCTCCTATTTCCTGCTTTTATTTAATTTATTTTTTACTTCAATAAAGCAGGGCCCATCCTTCTTTTCCTGGAAGGTGAGAATATATTGAGGACAGAGAGACATCATATTGACATAATTTATCTCTTAATAGTTCATTTGATTACATTGCAGTGATTAGACAATATGTGCTAAATTTAAAAATATTGTTTCATTCCCAAAGCCGGCTTAAAACATGTTGCTTTTGCCAACTAAGTCACATATTGAATGTGGCTAATATATGTGGTACTTAAATAATGATAACATTGATCTTCAGATATTGTAGTTAACACAATACCAAACAGGCCAATCTGCCGTGACAGCAGGAGAATTGTCTTCTTTACTGTGCTAGTGCGACATCTAGTGGCAAATACAAAAGTCACTTCAAAAGGAAAATGAATGAGTTCGGTTAAAGCTACAGTATATTTCTAGAGATTTGTGTAACCAAAAGCCCCAGCAAGGTCTTCAAAAGTTTAAATACAATGATATGCAGGACTTCAAATACAATGTGCTAGTAAAGAATAGAACACAATACAAATGTAATTCAAACATGTTTAATTTACTTTATTGGATTACCAAAGAATACAAATGAACTCATTTAAAATTGAGTTAACATAGCCATCTAACAGGATTGTTTGCTACAAATTACGGAAATGAAAGAAGCAGTTTGAGATATTGGCAATTCTTTGGAATGAGGAAGAAAAGCCAGCTTACCCGAATAGTATAGAATGATATTGAGAAATAAATCCTTAAAATTAACTAAATATGTTGCAACATAAATATTGAATAGGAGAACAGTCACCAGAAAACCAATTACTTAAGTTCTGACAGAGACCAACATTTTTAGCTAAAAAATCATTTGTATTGAATATTGCACTTTTACAAGGAAATCCTAAAATATTGGAATTTACTATAATACTTTACTTTACTTTACTATACCGCAGAGAACTATTTATGTGCAAACATTATTCTGACGTCTATTTCTTTACTTTTCTCAGCTTCTCATACTGAAACTATTTACAGAATAAACTGAAAACAGAATAATCCTAGACGAAATAGGGGAACCACAGTACATTTTTAAAATATATATTGATAAAAATAACGCTCTAATATATACATTGAATAAATTAATAGAACGTTTTCAAGTGCAGCAGCAGCAACAACAGCAACAACAACAACAACAATGTTCTGTATTTCAAAAAGATGAAACACAATAATTTATGTAACAGATTAAATTATGTCAGTAGAGGTCAGTGATACAGTAAAACACACATTTTACCATTTGTGATATGATTTCATTCTTCACAGTGCTGGGGAGTTTGTCCCCAGAGACTTTTGCCAGTCATTTAAGTAAGATTTTCTCCGTTCAATGATGCACTGTACTTCCCCTATTACAGTAATCTGATAAATAATACTTCCTCAAACACTTGCCTCTATTCAAATTACAGCGACATGTTGACAGTAGGCTGTCCAGTGAGTTGGTACCGGTATAAGGTATAGTTTACAGTCTATGGTTGGTACGCGGGCAGCAGTCACATTATGTAATTTACACTTTAGTGAGATTTTTCTGGGAAATGGCCCTACAAATAAATCAGGCATTCCTCTTCATCTAGCACTCAAGTTTCCTCTTCTTTTTTTTTAATTGAGGCTTATTCCCTCCCTGAAGAAAAGAAAGAAAAGGAAGGGATAAGTCAGTTTTACAATATTTCAACATGATGTAAAGGTTACAAAAAGTAAAGGCAACGTTTGTGCTTCATCTTACTTTTCAACAGGTTGTATTTGACATTACCTATTAATTAAATCAAAGTATTATAGGTATAAATTGTAATCATCCACTTACTCCTCATCTTCATTAATGTCTTCATGTTCCCCTGGAATCAACATAGATAGTGCTGTGAGTTTTTTCAAGTTATGGAGTCATTCTTATTCTTTCATTTTTGTATTTATACAAACACAACTTGTGAAACACCTAATATCTGTCCTTACCTTTCTTACATTTCTTGCTTTTCCACCACAGCAACGTAACAACCATAACAACCGTAAAACCGGCAGCCAACACTGCAATGATTATCACATGAGGCCAGGGAGGATAAGATGTATATTTGGGTTTGCCTAGAGAGGAGAACACATGGAAATTAGTCTCAAAAACATATGGACTTCGACATATGTTCTCTGTTGATGGCATAACCACGCATACAGTTTTTTTTCTTCTTTTTTTTCTTACAATTCTATCTTAAAAAATCTGCTTTTGATCCAACTACAACTAACCTGAATTAACTTTTTTTGCCACAGGTACACATGCCAGGCACTATAGATCAAATGAAAATATACTGAAGCAGAAATTCAGCAGCATTGGGGCTGAACTGTGAAGTTCAGGTCAAAATTTGACTCGGTTCAATACATGTCAGATAGCCTACCTGAAAAACAAATGATGTTTTAACCAGCCTCTGCTGTACAGTACTATGTGGTACTATTGCTAGTTAGCCAATGCTAGCATGTTTAACTAAGATGGTGAATTTAGTTAACATTTTACCTGCTAATGTAAGCATTTAAGCTGAAAGCCTGGCTGTGTCTAATTACATCCTAACAGACCTGTCGGCTTGGCTGTAGACTTGGTTTAACCTTAAAAATCTCTTAACTGTAACACAAACTCTTTGTCAACCATATAAAAGGATTTTTAAAAATCCTCACATATTTCCATAACATTTGCCATATGCCAAGTATTGTCTTTTACACTTACCAAAACTTGCAAAGGGTTTAAAAGCACACCATAGGGACAGTTATTTTTTCTTAAAAGTTTAGGACTCACAGATTGATAACAGTTCTGATCTGAGGTTGCCCACAGAGCAGCTGATGAACATCTCTCCATTGGAGCAGTTGAGGCGTGCAGTGCTGGAAGTGTTGACCAACTTGGTGACATTATCTCTCGTAATGTTGTTCATAAACTTCAAAGTGTGAGTCTGTGATACGTTCCACTTCACTTCTGCTTGCGGGTAGCCGCCATGCGCGACACATGTCAGTAGGCAACTCAAGGGAGGACTTTCATCACAGCAGTCCATTGTAAGGGCAGGTTCACTGTAGTTTCCTATGAGAGAGACGGAGAAAAAAACCCACTGTCATTCATAATACGTTGCATTTCCTGCGTGTCATGGTAACTGAAAATGGCTATGTTTAGTTAAATTGCTATTAACCTTTTAACAGAGCCTTTTTGAGTCCAAGATCACAAACTCACAGATCAATTATGACTTAGATAGTTCTGGATTAATGCAAATGTGTTGTTTTTTGATACTGAAGTCTATTTTCAGGGGTGAAAAGTTATGTCATGTGATAGATAACCTTTTGATTGTCTCCCTATTCTGCTTCCAACCTAAATAAATAAGCTTGGAGACACATAAATTAGTCTTGAAATTAAGCTTCCTTTTCTTGAAACTGCATCCTCGCTTTAATAAGTGTAACTGAACTAAAAAATGGGTTTAACAACTGCATGGTACAACAAAATATCCTAACAACCCACAACTCAAAGAATTACATTTTAAAAGGTTAACATACTCATACCTGTGACACTGAGGTGCATATCAGTTCGAACTAGGGGTAAGTCATTGCCACTGTTCATGGTATAGCACTGATAATCCCCTTGATGTGAGACATTCAAATTGGACATGTGCATCGTTCCCTTCTTAGTATCGATTCTTGTGTTGCTCCATACCGTAGCCGATGTTTTCTCTCTTATATAGTATCCATTCACGTACGTGTTGCCCCTTTGAATGTACATTAAGCCTAGTGTCCTATTTTCATCAACGGGGCAGTAAAAAGTCACATTTCCACCAACCACTCCTCTGTACTGATTCTGAATCAGTACAGCACTTCCTGCAGAAGAAAAGGAAGCAAGGACATAATGAAAAGAAGCAAGGACATAATGTTAGAGCATGCTAAAATAAAAGTATCTTCTAGGAATGAACAATCTTTAATGGTGTGCACATTTTGATCACAGCATGTCTGAGTAGGAAGCATTTAATTTAACATAAGAAATAAAAGAAAAAAGGGATAATGTTCTATAGCCAGAACTTTGGTTTGTTATGTTATGTCTAAGGATAGTAAAACCACCAACAAACAGTTTGACATCTGTAATAATTTACTTCATAAACATAAGATAAGAAACATACTTGTTTTTGTGTGTGTAAAGGTCGGGAGTTTCTGTTTAGACTTTTAGCTCATGTCCTCTCATGACGTAAAGGGCTAATCACAGTTCCTCTTAATGTTTTTGTAAAATACACAACTACAATTGTCCCTTTCATGTTTTACATGATGTAAAGGTCAACATATTGACCATTGTGTTATAGTGAGCTGAAGGTTTCACTTTTTATTTTAACTTTCTGTGTAGGTGTTTTTGGTAATACCAATAATGTTTAGGTTCTGTTTTGACGGTCCAGTTCTGTGTTGCTAGCTTGACTTTGACTTTGTCTTTGTCTGACATTTGGTGCTGTTTTTGGTATTTATAGTTGTTTTATTCCAGCTCTACTGAAGAAACCAGATAGGAATATAAGCTTGATAAGGATGTCTGGACTTTGATAGTATTTGCATGGGCTTTAAAGTAATAGTTTGGGAAATAGAGGGTTTTCCCAAATTGGTAAAATAATCATTTAAAGCCAAACGATTGAGATAAAAAAGAATTAGAGATATGTAGAGCTTCAGAGTTGGATGATAATTATCTGTCTATTCCTGTCTGCCAGCAAACCTTTCTCATTATAACTCAGTTATTTGAATTATTTGGAGCTCCAAAACTGCTGGTTTCTAATCTAATATAATACATTTGGTACTTGTTTTCGATCAAGCAAAGTATTGTGATATCAAAAGTCCTTACGGTATGCATGTAATCTATTTAAATATACAACTGGTTCCACTGTAAAACCAAGACAAGAGTGTGTTGTTAATGCACTGATATGAGGTGAACTGCTTACCTGTGACAGAAATAGCACCAGTCATAATAATATACAACTGGGACAGCCGGAAGAGGGAACTCCTTTGGTTGATAGGAAGACAAGAGGAAGCATAATTAAAATGGTTTATAATTGTTTTCATGGTTACCAAGGTAACACTGGGAATACCAGTGACACAGAGATGAATACAAACTGTGTGACAGAAAGAAAATGCCCTGCAACTACATAGTAAAATACCCCTGGCCCCGTGCTCAGAGATACTATCATAAGAGGTAAATATGAGCCACCATTGCTAATATTGACTCAACCGGCCCCTCCTCGGTCATCAACTGTCATTCTTTTTAAATAGTACTAAACCAAAGACCGTTATGGTAGCAACTAAACCATTGTCCTATGATTCACAGCAAAGTACATTTATTGTAGCATGATACAACCTGTATATTGTTGAAAGGATATAATAACCGGTTTCTGGAGATCAATTGTGGCTGGCTTGAAGAAAGGCTGCTGTCAGCATTTTGTAGGAGTTTGAAATACAATAATAAGTATGAGGTAATACAAAAAGCCAAAGGGCACTTACGGGAAACACTGTGGGTTGGAAGGGGATGCCTGTTGAAAAGAAAAATCAAGTTAAGTGATAGTATTGATTCTTTTTTTAATTTAATTTGGTATCTTTTAAATCATTGCACAGGAGCAATACTCATTCAGGAATTCTTAGAATATTTTATATATCAAAATCTTAGACATCTTGTAAACTGTTAAACACATGGATGTCGTATTTGCTGCTTTGGGGAGTCTGCAATATGAAACCTGCCCTACCACCTATCAACCCAGTGTCTTATGTATGTTCACATTGTGTGTGGAATTCTACGGAAACAAAACAGTATCTGAAATATCCGACTGGCCTTTTACAGTAAGTGAAGTTAGGGTAATGGTTTCTGTCATCCTGAAAAAACAAACCTTGTTTTGAACACCAAGATTCAGGAAAGTCCCATTGAGCAGTAGGCAGTAGCAACAGTATCTGCCAAAATAACCTGCCTTCACACTTGAGACAGTAACTTCTCATATTCTTATATTTTGTAGGAAGTATTATAAAAGTATATTATAAAAAACAACCATCAGTTAATAGTGTATTTAGTTTTAACTTGAATATTTTTGTGTTTTGATGAGTCAAAACACGAGTCAAAATGCATCACACGCCCTACAAATGGTCTTTCTTAACTCATGCATACTAACAGTCTACAAATAACACTGTTATTTGTGTTACATTCACTCTTTTGAGGAACATTCTTCATATTCAACACTTTGCATTTAAAACACACATTTAGAGAATATGAAGTTAAAAATAAGAAAGCATAAGCAGAAGTGTCTTTCTCGACAGAAACCACATCTGAGGGAATCCCCAGGGGCCACGTGAATACCTAAAGAACGGTTCATTGTGTTTGGTTCAGCAAAAGTGTTACCAAATGGAAAATAACATTCATTCAAATCTGAATTAATGTAAATAATGTTGTAAATGTTTGGTTTAAGTCTCCCCTAATTTCTATGACTGTGTCTGTCTTCTACAACAGCAACCAAAGTATAGTAATCATCACATGTAATGTAATAAAACTGCATTAAGGACAACTTTAAAAGAGCTAATGCAGATTGTCTTTGTTTACACTGCATCAGAAAAGTCTTAAATCCTCTCTTTGGCATTGTTTGAGTCCACACTTTCGTTGTAATGGACTGTGCAATAGAATGTACACAAGTTTTAGAAGATTTCAGAAAGCGATGGCAAAACATTGCATAGCATTGATTGAGCGTTATTATTGACTGTGTGCGGTCTACTATTACTTATCTATCATCAGCTAACACCTTTAACGTTTTTATTGAGTCTTTAGACAGAGAGTTTCGATAATGGGGAGTTCCCTATGACATAACGTGATTTACAATCGATGATACATAAATGATTGCATGACTTACACTAATCAGATAAGCTACGAAACCACATACCAGATTCACACATTGGATTCATGTTATCTCACATTTAGTTTCATTCATTTTAATATAGGAGAGGTTTGACACATCTTGTGGTTCAAGAATGTTCAGGGTGAAACCTATTTAATGTGAGTGAGATACTCTAAACAGACTAAAGAAAATGATCTCTGTCTTTGTCACAAATATAGTTATACACACAAGGATATATTCAATCAGCAGTGCCTATTTGCAAATAGCATTCCTACAGTGATATAGATGAAGCTCACAGAGGCGGTATGTTGGGAGTTAGTTTACTTAAGGATAAAACTAGTTACACACACACACACACACACACACACACACACACACACACACAGTATTCGGGGGCTGCTGCTCAGTGTCCTTTCAACTATTTTTTTGATACAGAGAGACTTCCTTTCTGACATTATAGTAACAGACAATGAACAAACTTATCCATAACAATAACATTACATGTTATCATAAAAGAAAAGGAAAAGGAAAATAAAAGCTAAGCTCTTACCATTGTGCTGTGTCCGCTGTTAGTCAGTAAGAGAGTGAGAAGAAAATGCTGTAAACTTCCTCTTCATTCAAAAAGAAACAAAAGGGGCAGGGCAAAACAGTCATGTGACAAACAATGACACACAATCTGATGTCAACCTGAGCAGGTTCTATTTGTATATGCATGTTTTAAAAAAAGCTTGTTATATCTTTGATTACAGCAGATAACTTATAGCATGAGAAAACAGGTGTTACAATAGTAACAATAACAATGGCTTTGCTCTATGTCAGTGTCCCAGTAAGTCACTTTGAGATTCAAATTTTAACATATGACTTACTGTTGGGAAGCCAAAAGAGGGCTTCCACAGAATCATGTCAGGACATTTAGGCTTCGGCACATTGCGTGTGTGATCACTACGTGTCTGTTATGTCACAGCGGAACAATCTTCATGAACTTCCCTGTCTGCTAACTAGCTCATTCTCACTCTCATCAGACCTTGTAGTATGAATCACAGTCAAATGTTACAGTAATATGCAGTGTTGCATTCATATTCTGCTGCTATGATTGTTTTTATTTATTTTTTGAACCAAGGCATCACAGAACTAAGTCACAAGGAATGCAGAGGGAGGGGGAGTAGGATACTACAGATCATAGTAAGATAATTCATTTAATCAGTCAACTGATTAGATTTGCCATCACTTACTGTACGGAGGCTCAGTCATTGGTACACGTTTATTTATAAAGCCATGTTGGGCAAACTCCCGTAATACATCTGTTCACTGATAACACAGAGAGTTGCAAGCAGCTATTGTCTGAGATCGCATGATGTAGTATTGTTGGATGTGCCAAGAGCAAGGACTGTCTTAAGACAGCTTTTATTTGCACAGCGCCACTTGCTTGGAACAGTCTACAGCTAAAATTGAAACTGAGCAATTTTATTCCTCTGAATGTTTTTAAAGCAAGTCCAAGTGAAATGCTCTTTGAAACTATGGGTATTTGTAAATGTTGATAAGTATGCAAATGTAGCTTGTAAATATGTTGCATGATATCCTCTATTGTTTTATGTCGTTTTATGTTTCATGTGGAACCTAATTGCTGCAGGTCTCCCTTGAAAAAGAGATCTATGATCTCAAGGGACAATCTGGATAAATAAAGGTTTGAAATGAAATGAAAACTATTATTTCATAATCTTAATGAGACATGGGAGAAGTGGAAACTCTCCTATCCAAGAAAAACCTTTACAATTTAGATTTGTATTTCCTTAAATAAATAATATACAAATGTTTTATTGTGCAAGAAAAGAGGCAAGTGTTACTAAACAGGCCAACTGTTTCCCTTTTGGGTAAAAAAATGGCCACTTGGGACACAAGAATACATTTGAATATTGCTATAGAGCAGTGACATGCATCATTTGCGGTAACATTTGAGATGCATTATGTTCAACTGTGTGTCTTTAATCCTCCATCTTCCACATTGCAGTCATGGATCAAAAGAAGGTGCTTAAATGCCGGTGATGTCACACGATAACTCAGACACCACTAATGAGATTTTCAAAAAGCACTTTTGGATACAGGTGGTGTAAAACATTTTCAAAAAGGTCAAATATGCTCACACAGCTGCTTTGCTTCTGACACTGTTGCAGATGACTGGTGTACCACACACATTGTGGTGTGTGGTACACAGAAAAAAAAGTTTGTGTTTCAGACTTTTTTTCTGAGTACATTTAGAAGATCTTTTCACTTCTGTTTTTCAATCACTTTATTATAGCACTTATAATATAATATGATATTCAAACATTTACTGTTATTATCAATTCTTATTATCCACTTCATTCCTGCTAATTGCCTCTCAAAAAGGTTAATAATTGACAAGGTACCAAGCTAACTTAATGAAGTGTTGACTTCACTTTGACATTTGAAGAGTAAAAAATACATGGTTTTTACCAGTTTTGACTCAGTGTCTCTGCTCTTTATCTTTTCTTCTTTGAATAGCCTCTAACTAACTAAGACATTAAATAGGGAATGACTGGGGATTTCCGTGTGTATCCCTGAAAAGTTTGATATGTACCCAGAACGTAGAGCCACACAATGACTCCTCCCTATTATATTCATAGCCCATCCCAACGCATATCGGTAAACCACTTTATATCTGGTTTCCTTTTGAATCATCTGACTTTAAATGAATAATTAAGTAGTTGCCTAAATTTACACAAGTGAAATAGCTAAATAGTCATTTTAATAGAATGTAAATGACTGTAAGACATCATTTCTTATTGTCAAAGGCAACATTTTCATTCCATCAGGTTAAGAATTGCATTCCATATAAAAAATACACTTACACTATAGAGGTGGCATGCATGTTTGTGAAGGTGAATTGCTGTTTCTGGTATAATGTGATAAATTAGAGCTTTATGTATTGGATAAGAGGGGATAACAGGAATTGTACATCCAGGTAAAATGTAAGACTGCAAAGAAATATATAAATCAACAGTTTGCATATTTATTACAAAACTGACGAGAAGACATTATAGATAGTCAAGCGGTATGTGGAAGTGAAGTTCCACCCCCATACTGCCCACAGAACCCATTTACTGTATACCACCTTTCTTACAGTAATTTGTTGTTTTGTGGGCTGTACTTGGGAGGAAGGGCTGATAACACTTTGGTTTACAGAAATCACTTCTCACTATTCTAGGGGATTTTGAAACTCAAAGACTACCTCATAATCTAATAGCGATCTGTAACAACTTCCTGTACAAATGCATTGCATGGTGCTACAAAGAGTGCAGTTGGTATTGCTATCTGCTTGTTTCTGAAAAGCAATCTTTATTTGTTTGTGCTCCCGAAATAAATTGTAGTGAATGTTTGTCAGTCAGAGAATATTATTTACATGTGATAAATTAAATTGGATTGAACAACAATGAGAGGTTTAGAGGCTGTTTTGAGAAATGCACAAGATTGAGTATGGTTATCAGTGTTATTGGTTAGTCTATGGTCAAAAAGATAAAAAAGATGTGTGTGGGGGTGTGTGTGTGTGTGCGTGACAAAAGAGTTTCCCTTCCATCTATATGCGGTCATTGAAAGAACTTAAACTCTGTTAAATATCAAGGGAATCCCTGTCCTTCTGTTTCGTCTTTTGTGTGTGTTGGTGTTAAGCCAGGTCCTTCTTCATTATCAGGCATTGAAGTCCTGTATAAAGATTGGCCTTATTTCAAATTCTAGTATAAAAACAATTCTTACAAGGGGCTCTTCCTGAATAACATTGTGTTAAAAAAAAAATCCGGACATACCATAAATACTATAAACACAAACATATGGGATAGTAGGTTAACCTGACCAAGGTTTGGAAGGAGACATTCAAATATATTATGATGAATGTTTTGTGATGACATCCTTTTACGACTTTTTCAAGTATGACACATGTCATTTTAAGAAAAAGGCATAAGTAATACAAGCAATGACTCGCTGTACACCGTTGTTGGGAAAATACTAACAACGGTCTTGCCTCATTGAGACACTTAATATTGAGTCATTGTAAATGTTATTAGTATCGCAAGTGATTTGTCTTTAGCAAGTAAAGTGCAAATGCTTACACAAAGGCCCATTGTAGTTTTATAACAAGTAGTACAACATAATAAACAAATATGTGTCTCTCTTTTTGGAGTACATCTAAATAGGAATTATTAGGTAATGCTGAATGCATTTAAGCTGTAATATATGTTAATAAATATTTCAACAGTGGTGGAATTAACCAAACCACATTTAGTCAGGAATGTACTTAATGTGGGGTACATGCAGGCTACTTTCCATGATACTTTCCTTATGGATTTTAAACTTTCTAACTAATAGACGCCTCTCGGACTCTATCACCACAGGCTCGCCTCAAGGATGCGTTCTTTCGCCCCTAATTTTTATAATGTACACTGATAAATGCAGGAGCATGCAAGACAATAGCTACCTGGTTAAATTCTCTGATGATACCACCCTCTTGTCCCTCCTTTGCGGCTCAGAATTTGGCCACGAGGGAGGCTTTAGCTCAGTGGACTAGTGCGCTGATCTTCGAATCAGAGGATAGCAAGTTTGAGTCCCACTGCAGTCAGCATGTTGTTGTGTCCCTGGGCAAGACACTTCACCCCAAATTGCTCCTGTGCGGATTGCCCACAGTATTGAGTATGTAAGTCGCTTTGGATAAAAACGTCTAACAAGTAACATGTAATGTAATGAGTGTGCTCTTACTGATTTTATTTCCTGGTGTGATGACAGTTTTCTGGATTTAAAATGTCTCTAAAACCCAGGAATTGATAATTGATTTTAGACGTCGCAAGGATGTTCCTAAGGAGTGCATCATAAACAATGACAAGGTAGAAATTGTCACATCATACAAATACTTGGGCACCATTTTCGATGACAACCTCAAATTTGATGTGAATAATGAGTGTATTGTGAAGCGGGGTCTACAGAGAATGCATCTTCTTCGCAAACTGAACTCTATCTCTGTCAGGCCTTTCATTCTTTGTCGTTTTTACCAAGCATTCCTTTTATCTGCCGGTTCCATAGCCTTACACTGAAAGACAGGAACAGCCTGAACAGCATTGTTAAAAACTGCTCTCAGGATCATCGAAGTGAAACAGAGAGACTTAAACTCCTTCTGTCACCAACAGATTCTGCGGAAAGCAGAGATCATTCTGGCCTCTCCAGGTCATGTTCTTGCAGATGAATTCCGTCTGTTGCCATGAGAGCGTAGATATGCTCTACCTGCTCTAAAGACTAATCGCTTTGCAAAATAATTCATCCCTTCTGCACTCAAACTTTAAAATTCTTGAAAGACTTTTATCTTGATTATTTATTTATTTATTATTGTGATACAATGAACTATTTATCGTGTAAATTGGAATGATCCACATCTGTGCTCCCGGGTGTATCTGTGTGTTTTCTTCGTATGTTCCTGCCTGTGTACATGACATAAGCTGCTGCTCATAACCAATTGCCCCTTGCAAGATTAATAAAGTTGTTGATTGATTGATTATAATGCTATTTAATACTTAATCCAACAAATTACAGAGGGTAATATTGTACTAAACCTACTATACAAAATGATATGTTATTAACACAAAATACAAATCAACTAAAGCACGACTATGTATTATGGAAGATTAATTTACCCAGCAATATATAAAGTAATTTAAGTTACGGCTACATAATGCAACCTTAAATACATGTACATAATGAATCAAAACATATAATACACTTAGAATATGATTAGAAGATGTGCCATCGTGGAAACATATGCTGCCTGGCTCTGTACTCTTCACCTAAGTAAATGGCGTAAGTAAATTGCGTAGATTTCTATTTCTGCTTTGTCACGTGGTACAGTGGATCGTAGTTGCTACCTGGCAACCACGCAAGCATATACTTGAAGAAACAGACAGGCATGAGTAACAGCTTCCCTCCATGAACTGTGTTACAAACAGCTTTAAAGGTAGTATGCTTGTTGGCAAAACGTTATGAGACCAATGCTTCTGTTGGTTTACTAGCGTGCTGGAGTCAAGACAGCTAGCTAAAATGCTTAACTTTAATTCAAAGAGATGGTGACGTTAGCTAGCTAGCTTGTGGATTTGTTGACCTCCTGTAGCCATTGTTTTGTAATAATTATGCGCCTTAACTTTGTAAACATTATTTTAGTCTTTGCCATGTGAAGCAAATAATCTGCTTTGACAAAGGACACATACTAACTTTGTATTAGCACTAGCACCTTCGATAGTAGCGTTATAATGTAAGTTAGCTAATAGTTTAGCAGCAATACTCTAGTAACGTTAGCACTGCTGTCCCTTCAAAGACTTAGCTGAAATGTTAACGTACTCAATTATCTTAAGAGGAAAGTATCCGGCGTAACGTTATAGTTGTTTAGAGAATTCAGAGAAACTTGCACGGGCATGTGGTTTGAGAAAGGCTTGAAACTCCTCTATTTGCTTGTTTCTGGGTCGACAGAACAACATTACGCACTAACGCTAGGTTAAAGCGTAACAAACGCTGGTATTAACTTTAGTCAAAGTCTGATAGGGCCCAATTTTATTACATGATGCGGCAGTAATTGGTCTGATTCTGGGTGTATTGGACATGTTAGATGGGTTTTTATGTAATAGATAAATCCATTTAATGTGTTTGGCTTATTATTCAAGTCTATTTTACATGAGTGGCAAAGTACTGAGTCCTTCTTTCCCACATAATACAATGATATGTCTGAATTTACATCTAACTGTGTTCTATGAGATATTTCAACCCTAAAGGAAGCTTTGAAAAAAGCCAAATCTGAGCCCAAATGATCTGTATAAATAACATTAAAACTTAAACTCACAATTTATAGTGCTTGTAATAGACAATAGTGATCATTAAGCCATATTCATTTTATATTAAGCCATATCCCATTAAGCCTTATCCCTCCCACCGTGCAGTCTTTACAGTGTTATTTTCTGTATATTACAGGTTTCTCAGCATCAGTACATCACTGTAGCTGAAAGATGCCCCACGGTTCAGATGATGCTCGCAAAAGGTTTATCTTGACCACAACAGGAAACTTCTATGGGATAAAACCTTCACCGTCCCTGACTGACAGCCCAGAGCTCAATAACTTTCTGGACGATGGAAATGAGTTTGTCCTGTCCATCAGCAGACATGACGGAGACCTTCACTTGTCAAATAAGGTAACACAAACATATAACATCATTACAGTGTTTCAGTTTCTAGTGTGGATCAAGATATCCTTGGGAAAGAATTTGCCTCTGGGCTCATAAGACCAACAATCTAACCTTTCAACTAATGCTTAATGTTTTAAAAAGACTAACATGTACAGCCTAAACCCTAGTAGGGCTGTTTATATAAGCACATTTAAAGTGGTTTTCCATAATAGTTTACTTTGTAAAATAAACCGCCTCATCCTATGTATGGACAACACAAATGTACTTGACAGCAAAGCAGTGTCTTACCCTGCCTCTTTTGACATATTTGATCGCTCTTTGTCAGATTGAAGCATCGGGGGGAAACAGAGAGAAGGTGTTGGTGTTCTTCAAGCTGTATCCCACAGTCATCACAGAAGACAACCTTCACCATAGCGTCCTTGTGTCGTCCATGCTGGAGTCTCCCATCAACACCCTCTACCAGGCTGTGAGACAAGTCTTTGCACCTGTACTGCTGAAGGTGAGCCTGTATCCACAATAGTATGAGGAGGTACCATTCCCCAAGCTACTATTTGGAACATATTTCTATTTGAATAATTCAAAACAGTTCATACATTTTAGTTAGAAATAAACACTTGCATTCATCTATTACAAATGAAAGGAAAAACACATCTAAATTAATTTAAAACAAGTACTGGAAATACATATAACAAGACCATTGGGACATGTAAATAGATACCTTTAAAATGTTATACCCTTAAGTTTTGATTAATGTTTTTTTGTGGCCAAATAAAGCACCGGTAGAGAACAAGACAATTCAGTCTAAAACTTAGTAAATGTATTCTTTGCTTTACCACTCTGTAGGATGAGCGCTGGCGTTCAGCATTTGACCCTAAGCTGGCAGCTCTGCTGAGTGAGCTGGAGCTGGGCCTGGGCTCAGTGGTCCGCCAGTCAGGAGACCATCCCTCTGCTAAGAAGGGACGCTCAGAGGAAGATGTCCTCGGTATGCATAAACACATTTTTGCTAAATGAAATACACAGGTCAGGGCCTTAGTGCCTATGATCAAGTAAGGGCTAAGGTTTTTTGTGAGTATAGAAGTGGTGTAACAATATACAAATGATTGGATTAAACATTTAGCTAATAAGTGTAAAAAAAGTGTAATCTCAGTACACCTATCACAAATACTAAATAAATGTAAGGCTAAACAATATCAGTTCACTTCATAAAAGAAGTTGTCTTAACCTCTTTACTTAATTTAACATGGGTAAATTGTTATTTTGAAACATTGTACTTTTCTCTGGCGATGCAGGCATCCTGACTCCCAGTGATGAGTTCCAGTACTGGGAGGACCTGGCTGAGTCTGCAGAGAAGAACAGTTCGAGAGAGAGGGCTTTATATATCACTGAGCAGTTTAAACCCATACAAAAGGTATACATTCAAACCTTTATGTATCAATATTGATATTCATATTTGTATGTACGTTTACAAATGTTGGTAGTCTCTCAGAAAGAAGTGATGCTGCTATCTTCTAGTTCACGCTGTTGTTAAGCGCACTAAAACTCTATTTTGTTTTTCATCCATACATTTGATAAAATATCCTTTTTTTATGACTTAAATACTTTATTTATTTAGTTAATACTTTTTTTAAAGGTGCACTGCGGACAGATTGCACATCAAGTTATTGCAAACATTAAAAAAGATGTTCCCTGTTCAAATGGATTTAGCACGTTTTGTCTCATTGTCTTCATTTTAATTGCTGTATTTCATTGGATGCCACAAACAACACTAACATGCAATGATTCCACACATAAAATGCTAAAAGACCTTTTTTCAACTTGGTACATATTTTCTTTTACGTTTGAAACCTTGATCTTAGCATGTTCTTTATTTTTCATATAGTTTTAAGAAGTGTTTAATAATTGTTCTACAACTGATATTCAAATGGCAGGGAACTATCTTTGAACTAACTTATGTGTCTCTCTGTGATTCCACCAGGAGTACGGGGGTCTTGATGGCCTTTCCATGCCTGATGTTGTGGATCTGGTGGAACAGAGTAAAGACAGTCTGGATGATGTTTGGAGGCAAACTGATTTTGACCCTTACCCAGAAACGCGCATGGTGCGACTCATGGATGTTATTGGTGGGACTCGCACACAAACAAAAAACAAAAATAGGAAATGAAAACACATTTACGTCGGTTACAAGATCAGTTAGCTTCTGAGGTTAAACAAGAAACGCAATCTCTTGAGAACTGAAACTCACTTCCAAGAAACTACTCTATATACTACTCTACTATACTTACTTGTTTGCCTGTCCTCGTTTGTCTACCTTCCCTCATATTGTAAAGCGTCTTTGAGTTGTGAAAAGCGCTATATAAATAAAATGCATTATTATTATTATTATATACAGACCATGGCTTCTCAATAGTTAAATGTTGACCTTTTTGAGATTTAAGGGAGTAATTGATAATGTTGACTCAGTACTTCTGACATCCTACATAAGAAGTATTTCATTCCCGTGAAATGTAGACAGCTGTTTCGCAATCTAAGATGATCTGTTTGAGCATGTGTACTTTTCCGTGCATGTAGCAACCTTGTCATATTTTATTGTTGCTATTTCTTTCTTTACTAGGTGGAGCCCTGGGAAGATATGTGCAGAAGAAGCTGAGTCGTCTAAAAATATTTGAGGAGCCTTTTGTATCCATGAGAGAGAACCTGAGGACGGGCGTTTCCATCTGTGAACAGTGGGTGGTAGCCTGTGAGCATCTGACTGGACAGGTATGGAAGAGATCAAAGTGAGGATGAAATGTGCGCAAAATTGTTATAAATAATATGGTTTATACGTATAATAATAAATATAAAATGAAATCTAAATGAAGATCATCTGTGGTAAACACTAACCATGTATTAAACGGCCTTTTTTCTCAGGTGTGGAAGAGACATGCTCCACACCCCTGGAAAGGAAACAAGCACTGCCCGCAAACCCTACATTGCCTCGCTAAGAGATTGGATGAGGTAAGTCATCTCCTGACATTGTGGGCACATTACATTTAGTGCTTGACATATATCTGTCAGAAGAGTCTTGGTTGACCTTTCCTTGTTTTTGCTCTTCTGTAAAAAGAACAGACGTCACATTGAGGTGGAATTTCCACATGTCATTTATTTTAAAACAGAACAAGGAAAAAAAAGTGAACCTCTAACGGATTCAAAAAGCGAATTGCACGTTGTGCACCTTATTGATCCTGAAGTAACGACACTGATATTTATTAACTGTATTCTTTCAAACATGTTTTTGTTATCAGTTTAGCATGCTTAAGAACCTTGTTTATATTGTGTCTCCCAAACCCATTTACACAGCATCTTAGGAATAGTGCCATAGTCTGATAAGTCAGTCACAACTTGTAAGTCATATTGTTGACTCCTGCAAGCCTGATAACCAAACACGTAAACAAAACAAACATAGATAACTTGAAAACGCTCTCCTTGTTTATGTCTTCCAGGTGGTGACTCTGCGTATCGTTCATGAGAAACTGCTGCGTCTGCTACCAGCAGGGAAGCAGCAGGCTCTGACTTCAGATCGAGTGTTTGAGCCTTTCTCTGGACTCAACCCTCTGCATTACAACCCCTACACTGAGGTGACTAGTGTATTTCCATGTGACACTTCTGAATGACCTTGTTTTAACCTTTCATAATGACTGAACTTTGTCATTTTCAGTGCATTCATGCATGCACAATATGCTACAGGTGCAGGTTCTCCATTGCATGGCTGCTTGTTGTCACATCAAGATTAATATCCAAGCTAGGGGAATCCCCAATAAGGCTCACAATTTCTAGCTGCGACCAACATGTAAGCATCTGGCTGAATGGGCGCTGCGCTGTACATATTCCACCCACCTCGTCCTGAATTGACTTAAACCCATGTAAAAGCACCTGTCTTTAAGCATAGAAAAGCAATGCTGATTATTTGGGATTTTAAAGTAGCAGCTTACACTATTAAGGCAAGAATGGTTACCACTTTACAATAACACTACCCTTATAAAGGATTCATAAAGGGTTTATAATTAGGTTATGAATTAGGTTGTAAGCACTTTATTAATCATTAAGAACCATTTATAAACCAGTTCTAACATAATTTTCATACATCAACACAGGCTCACTATTTGGCAAGATGACTAGCCTTCTATTGGCTACCTAGCGAGAATCAACTCAGTGAACAACAGATACCAAGGATGCTGGCTGACGAAGAAGACGAAGTAAGCTAGGTGGCCATAAGGCTTAGCAGTACAGATAAATGTGGGCTCACTATTTGGCAAGCAACCGGTCACAGGTGCCCTGTTTATCTCATGTCTTATAAAAGCTTATTAATGATTTATAAAGTGTTCACAACCTAATTAATAAATGAATTACAAACTATTCGTAAACCCTTTTATAAGGGTAGTCGTATTGTAAGGTGGTACCAAAGAATGTAATTTAATTTACTTAGATTATTACTTGTAATTGTTCCTTTTTAGCCTCTCTGGACAGCAGCGGTGGCTCAGTTTGAGCGACTGATGGCTCCCTCAGAACAGGAAGTCGCTGGCAGACTGAAGAGCTACATTGCTGATGTACAGGACAACCCACAGCAGGTAGCGTGACACACCTCTTCGGATGCAAACACATTTTGTGTGGGTGTGTGTTGATCTGGGAGCTTACTGTGTGTGTGTGTGTGTGTGTGTGTGTGTGTGTGTGTGTGTGTGTGTGTGTGTGTGTGTGTGTGTGTGTGTGTGTGTGTGTGTGTGTGTGTGTGTGTCTGTTTTTTGTCTAGCTGTTGCAGGTTTTCCAAAAACACAAGGAGTTGATCAGACGTCCCACCATCAGCAAAGAGCTGCAGTCGGAGAGAGAGACCCTACTGGCCAGACTCCTGGACTACAGCAAGGGTACACAGTTATGATTCAAAGCACGTATGTCTTGTTTTGTCAGAGATAGTGTGGCACACAATAACCAGATGCCTACATAAAAAAAACACTCTAATATGAAATGTTAAATCTATTCTTGATCTACTCAATAATGGTAAATGACTTTAAAGTGTTAACTGAATGTGTGAGAGCAGTATGTAAGCCATTCAGAAGCTGAAAGCATGTAATATATCCTCCAAGGGTTTTTATAGTCTCATTGGGACCAATAGTATTCATTTAGCCCTCAAATGTAATAATACAATCATTGTAATCACTCAAAATATATAATAATACGAGAAGAGCAAACATAAGTGGATATAAATAAAGGTGAAATGTGTTTGTATTATGCTTCCCAGATCACTGACCCCTCTCTCACTTAATTGATTCTCTTAAGGCCTAAAGACTGACTTTGAGAGTCGTTGCCATGGAGCTCCTGGAGACAAGTCTGGGCCATTCATCGGCAGGAACCTCCCTGAGGTGGTCAACAAAATAGTTTGGGTCCGACAGCTCATACATAAGGTAACTAAGTGTGTGTCTTTTCACATACAACTATCAATCATCAAGTCTGACAATGATTTCCAGGTGTAATAGAATGAGATGTCATTGCATACTGAGATGAGGAACTTCTGAAAATGACATCATACAACCTAAGCTTTTACTCATGTTACAAAAATCAAATCGGTTTTATGACGATTAATAGAATAGTGCGTACTGATCCCTTTGTTCTATTATGTTCCTGTACTTGCATTCTTCCTATAGGTCGAGGACTCTGTCCGCATAGCTGAGGCGCTGCTCTCAGACCTGTCCGGGTTTAAGGGGTTCCTGCATTTCTGTGATGACCTGCTGGAGGTTCTGAGGGCGTATGAACAGGAACAGTTCGAGGACTGGTCGAGAGATATACTGTCAGGGCTGGCCGACCCAAAGTCAGGGATCAGGTTAGAAATTCTGCACACGTTGACTAATAATACGTATTAGAAAAGTTAAGAGCAACACTGAGTTACATCTTAATCCTCATTGGAATCATTCAGGTCAATTTATATCACAGTACCTGGAACTGTTTTTGTCACTTTTCAATAGTAAACATCACCTCATTAGGCACATTGCTAAAGTGCAATTCAGGGTGCTGGTCTGAGAGGATTCAATTACATTTGTCTCTCTTTGTATAGTCTCCAGGCCAGTAACCGTGTGATGGACCTGGACCATGTGGACGGCAGGCTGAAGATCCAGTATTCAGACAGGCTGGTCAGTCTGCTCAGGGAGGTCCGGCAGCTCTCCGCCCTGGGGTTTCCCATCCCTGCCAAGATCCAGCAGGCTGCTAATACTGCAGACAAATTCTACAGACAAGCCATAGTCCTCAAACAGGTGACAGGCCGTTTCCTCATTAATGTATTCATTTCTGTGTCATTGTTTCTTTTTGACAGCTCATATCGTATCATGTGACTGTTCTAGGTGGCCCATTTCTACAACACCATTGACCAGCAGATGATTCCCTCTCAGAGACCTATGATGCTTGGACTTGCCCTGGCCTTCGAACAGGTCATCAAGGTACAGTGTGGCACTTTCTGACATGAAAGTTAAGTTGTAAAAAGGGACATTGAAAGCTGAAGACTCGCCAATGCCTCTTTATGAGCATAACAAGTCTGAACTTTCTCTTCCTCAATCACATATTTTAAACAACCTATACATTTTGTCTGGCGTAAATGTCATACTGCGGACTGGAATTACTGATTTCTTTGTTCTCCTTTTTTAGAATCCTCGTTCTCAGTCAAAGGAATCTGGTGGTAAACTACAAATCACATGGGACAACCCCAAAGAGTTGGAAGTTTATATTGCCAAGTTACAATCTGCCGCGGAGAAACTTTCCACCGAGAACAGGAAGTTACGCAAGTGGCACACTGACTTTATCGACAAGGTTTGCAGCTTGCTGTTGTTGATTAAATACTAGTAGGGATGTAACGATATATCGAATATCGCGGTAAATAAATGTCTCAATACCGTCGTGAGACTGACAAAATCTACCACGATTTAATTTATTATTATTTTTTTAAACCTTTATTCAACCAGATGCTCCCATTGAGATCATCGATCTCTTTTTCAAGGGAGACCTGTCCAGCAGCAAGTAGGTTACAACATGAACATAAAGGCCCAGATACACGAAATCGGCAGTAAATGGGAGTCGGGCCGAACATGAGCGTGAGCACCCCCTATTCGGAGTGGTGTGCGCCGCACCGTCGGGGTCTTTTCTGCCGACCTGACGCCTTTTCTTGCCGATTCATTCATGTTGAATCGGCGTCGGGAACACCACCGGAAGTCGGACAAAGGGATAAAACTGATTGGCTGTTCAGCTAGCGAATCAGTGCATGAGAAGCGTTAACGGAAGTGAGGGAGGTAAACAAATGATTTAAAATGGAAGATGGAACACACACGGACGGCTATTTCACCTCATCGGTTTATAGAGCTCCTATTCTTTCATGTTTTCAATGGACGAGAGTGAAAATGGAAAGAGAAACGCTATTTGTTGTTTGTTTATATCACGGAGTCTGTTCTTCTTCTCTGTCTTCCGGTTGTTCCGGTTGTTGCCTCTTTTGAATGATGAATACACACTACCGCCGCCTGCTGGTAAGGAGAGTTATTGCCACTCACGCATGCGCAGTTCATACGTGCTCGGCTCGGATTTGCGGCGCAAATCCGAGCCGAGCACGTATGAACTGCGCATGCGTGAGTGGCAATAACTCTCCTTACCAGCAGGCGGCGGTAGTGTGTATTCATCATTCAAAAGANTAGAAGTGTTCAAATCTGGATCAGTCTGTATCAGATCCGTTGCAGCCCCTTTTTAAGAGATTTGGGTAAGGAGGAAAATAGAGAGGGTTGTGTTTTCTGACACTCCCTGGAACACCGGGGACACATATTCATGTATAAAAGACGTACAAAAGTGCATTTTGCATGATAGGTCACCTTTAAGGTCACTCACACTATTTTAATGAACTTATAGATTCACACTTAAAGTATTAGCCTACAGAACAGTACAGTTTACAGAGAAAAAATACAACAAACACTATGTTAATTTTAGTTTTTTCAATAACATTGTCATCCTGCTAGTAATACCAATTTTTTAAGAAATGTAACAGTTATATGATAAAATCTTTTTATGTAACTGTAAGGAAATGCAGTTACCTTTTTTTGTATGGTGATTGCGCAATCCCATTACATGTAACCCATCACTCCCCAAGCCTGGTGACAACCACCAGTACACACAAACAAACACTTACACACTCACTTCTGGATAATGCAGTGAATCAGGCAGTGATCAGCAGTCCCATCGTTTTCTGTTGAAACCAGCCTCTGATTACATGTCAGCTTGGCAATGAAAAACACACCCACTAATCGACTTATCAGTGAATGATTGTTGCCATTAATTGATTTGCCAGAATGCAGATTTGGCCGCTGCGGTTTGGGATTAGAGTCATGGACTAATAAAAGTGACCCCCCTTTTTATTGCCTCAGCTAATAGAGGGGAATAAGGGAACATGGAAATAAGTTGTGAGCAGAAAAGCCATAACAACTGGATTAGTTCTATACAAGGAGGCAAACCATTGCATCTATACATGCCTTGTGCAGCTAACCCCACAACCCTGCCCTCCCAAGACACACACACACACACACACACACACACACACACACACACACACACACACACACACACACACAGTGGTTGAGTGCAGTACATATTTCCCAATTTTAAATGTTTCTTTGTCAAAGGGGACAAAATTACGGGCAGCAAGAAGACAAAGATGAGTCATTAGAAACAGAACTAGGGAAAAGTAGAGGAAAAAATAGATTTGTGTTGACTGAGGGATTTCCCCAACAGTTTAAATATGCATGGCTGCAAACAGAAGGGAAAGTATCGTATACTGTGCTTACTGTTAGATCGAGTAGTGTTAAAGAAAAAAACAGAACTTCAGTATATAAATAGAGAACATGACTTATTCAAGGCTCTTACTTTCAAAGAAAACCGGGCAGCATGTCTGATTACAATGCTTCAATGAACAAAGGTTAAAAACAAGTTAAAGTACAATACATGGAAGTTTAGGCTTACATCTCGTGTGTGTCCAAGAGCAGCCGGCTTGCCACAGAATGCAATGAATCAAAACGTTTCCATTTTATGTAGTGATAATTAACCTAGCATTAAAAAAAACATTTGGTACTCTTCTCTTAACAGTATACATGTGGGTTTTTTGCCTCAGTTGAAAAATATAAATCAGCCATAATTAGTATCAATGTCAAAAGAATGTGTTGTTTGTGCACCTTGAACTTGTGCTGTATAGCCTGCAGGCGGCTGAAGAGGTCCTCGGCCTTGCTGAAGATGGTGACGAACCCAGTGGCATTTCTATCAATCATGACGCTGAAGATAAGCTCCTCCCCCTGGGCACTGACCCCTTTGAACTGGTTTGGTATTGAGATGAACCGCTTCATCTCCCTGAAATAGCGTGCTCGCACTTCCTCAAAGGGAGGACGGAACTGCAATCGACCCTGCCTATTCACGAGAAGTAGAACAAAAATAAAGGGGGGTTCAATTTAAATCAACAATGTTGGTATCGGAGAGAGAAAGTAAGAAACAGATGGACACACAAGAAGGGAGGGGAATTGGGAAAAAAGTTTGAGAGGGAACCGAAAAAGAGGAACGCCCTATTTAAATATTAAGAAAGCAGAGAGAAATGGAAAAAGAGAATACGAATAAAGAGCGGGACAGGAATTGTATACTGACTTGAAAGTGAGGTCTATGAGTATTTCAGGCAGGTTCTTGTTCAGAGCCTCGAGACCGGTCTGATACTGGTGTTCCAGAGCTTTGTACAGCTGATGGTTCCAATGCTGACGCCAGGCCCGCATGTCATCGGACCGGAAGCCCTAAACACACACGCATGCATTGGTTAAAGCAGGGGTGTCAAACTCAATTTCATCGCGGGCCACATTAGAATTATGGTTGCACTCAAAGGGCCGGTGGTAATTAACTTTAAGACTATATAAATATATAGATAAATATCTATAATATAATGTATTATTTTACAATATTTCCTCTGCATTGGATTATTATCGGATATGGTAATAACTTCATAATTCTAGGGCAAATAATTGCAAGTCTCTTCAGTGCGCAGCTCACAAAATGAGATGCATTGTGGGACATGTAGTTTATGGGCAACGTGCTCATGTAAAGCGGCACGTAACCTTATAACAAAACGTATTATATTCTTTGCAAGCTCTTGTGGGCCACATAAAATGAAGTGGCGGGCTGGATTTGGCACCCGGGCCTTGAGTTTGAGTTTGCCTTTGACACCCCTGGATTAAAGTGAGAGGATTAAGATTTGTTGTACAGGTTGTGCATGTTCAATAAATGCAAGAAGCTTCCTGATGACCACATTTTTCTACAAATATATAATAAAAATAAATACTGTATTCAATATAAATAGGTTACTTTAATGCCAGCAGCGAAGAGAGTTATATATGTTTGACTGCTATCACTACCTGAGCCTCCAGAGTGGCAAAGCCCGTGCGGAGGTCCTGCAGGCCGTCCTTCCACCGATGCTGCTGTCTCAGTAGGTCCACGTTCATCAGTGTCACCACCTGAGACATGTACCCAAATATGATTTTAGATACAAATTACAACATTATTATTACAAAGGAATGGGGTTGTAACAATTAATGCTAGTATTTAGGGATGTAACGATACCAAAAACTCACGGTACGATAATATCGCGATAAAAAGTCCACGGTACGATATTTATCGCGATATTGAAAAATAAGAGAAAACTTTTTAAATTTTTACTAGAGTTTTTTTGATTTATTAAATTATAAATCTGATTTGTACAGCATTTTTAGTAGGATAGTAGTATTTTAAAGTGTCAACAATATAATAATCAGACCCTGCAATAGAATAAATCAAGTTTCACTTTAGTTTTTCAAGTTAACTCAACTCTAACTCACTAACTCNCAACCCTCTCTATTTTCCTCCTTACCCAAATCTCTTAAAAAGGGGCTGCAACGGATCTGATACAGACTGATCCAGATTTGAACACTTCTATGATGTCACAGAAGTGGCGCTACAGCTATGGGGCCAACTCCACCAGTCAGGAGGAGACAGCCACGGACATTGCCATTCGAAAGCGCTGGAGACGCTGTTGTACATATGCCAGGCCTGTAGATGGTGCTGTTCTCACAGAATCAGCCCATGAAAAGAGAGTGTTAAATTGAGCGAAATGAGGAATGGCTAAAATGCATGATCTGTTTGGTATTTTGAAAAATAAAAAGTATAAATATGCCTTATATAGGTATGGTCCTACACTATATTATTCAAATATACCATGATAGGTCCACTTTAACTTTTTATTAAACTATAACAGAAAATGTTCTGTTAGCATCTGCTCTTGTGTTTCCTTGTTGATGTATACACTACTCAAATAAAAGGTTACTGATGACATTTTTTTATTGTAATGGAATGGTTAAAAGTAACTCTCCCAACCCTGGTTGAAACAGCAATAGGCTGCATTACTACGAATCTTTACACAGCAAAGGACAGGTTGTCACTTTGGAATTATCAGGTAAGCGTCACTATATTCATGTAATAAAATGACTGACTCATGACCCATGAATCAAGTTATTAAAATACATTAAAACTATTTATCATGTTTTAATTAGTAGACTAAAACACTTGCAACATTAAAGATTTCCACTGTCTGATACAATTCAGAAGGTTTATCCAACTAATATATTAATGAATACAAATCCTTATAATAGGAACATTTTGCATCTAATAATACAATTAATTATTTGAAAACAAATTATCTTGAGCTGTGCAGTTTTCTTTCATAAAGTTAACTGTCTAATGTAGGAGCCGTTGGTGTAAAATGTTCATCTGATTTAAAACCAAGCCAAAGAGCAGTGAGGTTAAGAGGTAGAACCCGATTGGTCCTCCTATAACGATTTTCTTTGCAGTGAGAACACTTTGGGACACAAACTTTTTCCTTTTCCAAATATGGGGCCAACAATGCTCGAAAGTAAAAATAAACCAGACAAAATGTCAAACAGGATGAATAATTAATTTCTTACAAAAAAGTCAGATACAACCGTGTAATTCGAAGGCATGGGTTGGCCATACACCCTCATGCATAACTAAAGACAGAGAGAAACAAACAATGGGTGGCATGATTTGCTTGTAGCGGATTTAATAATGTATACAAAAATATGTATTGATAGTACTCTTGTTATGTATCATAAATATCAAATGTGAAGGACAGTGATCAAAACACTGTTATAGCGAGTATCAGAATGTAATACCTCAGGAAACGACCCATCAAAATGTGATAGGCATAATGGATATTGTTATTTTGAAGGTTGTTACCGATATATTTCAGATAAAGTGCTTTACAAATGAAATGTTTTATCAACTAATAACTACAAAACGTAACTAATCAAATACATATGAATGGAAAAATTATGATTAAATGTTTCCACTGAATGCAAGGCTGGACAATTTATTAACCAGTTAAGCCCGAGCCTATTTTTCAGGCCTCAGGCTCGAAAATTACATTCCCAGAACAAATGACCATAACTCCACTTCTAAAAGGGGTAAATTAATAATATTTTTTCTCAAAGCAATGACAAACCTGTGAGTTGGATGTAGAAAAGACAGAATCAATATAGATTTTTTTTAATTTTAAAGTAAATTCAGATTGAACATAGTAAAAAACTGTAAATCATAGTGTCCGTCCAAAAAAAAGCATTACTTATAGTGAAAACCACCCTTGAATGATGCAACATATAATAAGTACCCTGTATCAAGATTGATGCAAAACAAGTGACATTTGACCTTTTTAGAGAGGTTTAGCAAAAACATTCATATGGGTGTATTTGGGTGTATTTGCCATTTCTCTGGAACCCATTGGTCGATTTTGGTGATTGACATCTCTTTTGAACCGTTAGAGCCAATAGAATCGAAGGGGAAGTTCCACATACACACCAACGTTGCCATTGAGAAATGAGAGCTATGCACACGCAGTTTGCCTAAAGCGAAACCTAATTTACGCNTTGACATCTCTTTTGAACCGTTAGAGCCAATAGAATCGAAGGGGAAGTTCCACATACACACACGTTACCATTGAGGAGTGAGTGTGACGTGCACGCAGTCGAAAGCTATGTTATGCTCTGAAAACTGAAACCTAGGCCCAAACTAGTAAATATGAAGATGGATTATCAGTAATCATTTCAAAGTGACACATTGGATTTTCTGATGCCATTGAACACAACTTTTGATCAGAACAACAGCTAAGGTAAGAATATCTCCGTGTTTTCTCCGTGAAGCTACGTGTTGTGATGTCTGTTCTGATCGCTCAGTTATGATACTTATATGTCTGGAATATGTGGAATCTCAGTTTGCTAATATCTTGTTTGCGCGAATCCGATAAGTAATAAGGGTATTTTACCTTGAGTTATGTGCTAACTGCGTTAGCATTTTTTCGCTCAGGGCTAATTCAGAGCCTTTGTTATTACCCGTATGTTTCGTTTTGCTAAAAATTGTTAATATGTGACCTGCTCCATCAAGATCAGTCGCATTGACTGGAAGACACATTTTGAGTTGTATACACTGTTGGAAAGAGGAGAATCCTAGCTTTCTAATGATGTCAGGATTGTTTTTGTACTCCAAATATTAAGCAAAATATGTCACATTATATAATGACTGTTACGAGTCATCATTTTGAGAAAAAGGCCTTTAAAGTTTCCTCTTCTCTGGAATCCATTGATCTGATTGATTATTAGCGGAGCAAATGATCAAAATACGGGGGGAAAGATATTTTGGTTTGGACTACTGGTCTGGGGGAAACTCGAGAGTGTGTGTGTGTGTGTGTATATGTGTGTGTGTGTTTGGGTATTTTTGCGTTTGTGTGTATTGTGTTTGTTTCCCGGTGAAAACGCTCACGAGAAACACCGGCTGTTGTTATGCCTGCTGTGACATTAGGTTACTCCGTTCTCCTCTCGTGAGCGTTTTCACCGGGAAACAAACACAATACACACAAACGCAAANAACTCCTTGTACGGTCTCGCCGCTCACTCTCCGCTCGACAGTAGAAGGGAAATGTTCGAAGTTTTTACGGACATCGATTACTCTAACTTACATTGTTATTTTTTATTGTTTTATATGTGTCGATAGTCTAACGCAAGAAAAATCTACGTTGAAATCTCATCTCGCCTTAATAACTTTGTCCTACACATGTCACAAGGCGCCGTAGGCGACGACGCTTTTACACCCCGTCACGCTGAGCTACCAAAGTTAGCCGCCCATGATGCGTATGATATCCGACCGTCTAAACGTTTATCTTTAAGGACAGTAAATAAAATGCTGACCCAAGAGTAACAGGCTGCAAGAGAACCTTTATGCCACTCTGTAGACAACCAAAACGTCTTTCCGATTGAAACCTTATATCATCGGCAACGTCGGCCACGAGTCAGGGTGACAAGGCTACAACAAAAACTACGGATAGATAACGTCAAAACAATCCGAAGTAACTTTTTTCGCCGGTCCTTTGACAAAAAGGTACCAAAAGGCATCTTTGACAGGTGGCATGTTAGAAGTACACTCAGGCGCCCATGCGTGAGGCACGCGCAGGATGTGACTTTGGGCTTGCGGTTGTTACATTGCACTCGACAGCTCGCCCCACAGCCTGTAGCTTTAGTCTTTTTTGTGCCGCTGCGACTCACCAATTAAAGTTAATTTGTGTATAATGGCCGTAATGTAAAATTAAATCGACTGCAAAAGATAGGTCGCTGAACTCTCTAGGTACCTTTTCTTTCTGTCTAAAGATAATCATGCAGCCAAGCATCCTCGGTTTGTTAAAGTTGCGAGTTGTCCGAACGGCCGAACCGCCCTCGCTTCGGCCGCGGCATTATTCCGGAAGTAATTCAGTAAAACTACAAATGGAACAGCTGCACTCAGACGACAGGACTTACAGTTACCCTCCGAGTAAGGTCCTCGTCCCCTACGTTGGTACCAGAAACCCCCCTTTGAAACCCCAGGGGGAGCGCCCTCCTCGCCGGCAAACCGACTACGCGTCGGCTCCGTCGTTGACCGCTGCCAACATACCAAATTGCTATAGGACCTACACATCCTCTCCGCTCTGGTAAGGTCGTACTGTTTCCATGGTCCCCTTCCTCGCTCCCTTCGTCCTTCCTCGCCGGTCCCCCACCCTCTAACATCCTTCCCTCTCGTTCGCGAATGAACGTGGCAGGTGAAACAACTAAATATCGGTTGTTTCTAGTCCCTCCGGCTGAAATTATGAATGTAACGCGTATAGTAATCATATATAACACGGCAGGGTCCGTTACAGTTAGTTTTCATCTGATTTCAATTAAACAAAGTCTTGGCTTTCAGAATATTAAACTTGTTTCGGCAAATTCAGATGATAAATACAACTTTGAAGCTTGTGACGGCATAATTACAAGCGGAGAACGGAGTAACTTAACGTCACAGCAGGCATAACAACAGCCGGTGTTTCTCGTGAGCGTTTCCCCCGGGAAACAAACGCAATACACACAAACGCAAAATTACACAAACACACACACACGTATACACACACACTCGC